TTATACAGGAAATACAACATATATAATAAAAACGATCATAATAATATGATAGAAACAATTAAACAAAAAATTAAAGCTTTAGCAGGCAGAATAAAGAGATATGAAGACATGAATACTAGAAAAGAACAGAATAAATTATTTAAAGAGCATGAACACAGATTATATACAAGTTTAGGAAGCAATAATACTAAAGAAGTCAATGTACCTAACAAAGAAAGAGTAGAAGAATTTTGGTCGTGCATATTGTCAAATCCTATAACCTACAATAATCAGGCTAAATGGATAAAGGAATTAGAAGAGTCATCAAAAAATCTAGAAGCAAGAGATACAGGTGAAATTACTGAACATCAAGTAAAATTTAGCATAAATAAACTACTGAACTGGAAATCGCCAGGTATAGATAAAATTCAAAATTATTATTTAAAACACCTTACCAGTGTGCATAGTTATTTAGCCACATTATTCACTAAAATAATAGCTGGTACAGAAGCGTTAGAGGATTGGTTCACTACAGGTCAAGTTATATTAATACCCAAAAATGAGCATACTGATGATCCAAAAAATTGGAGGCCCATAGCATGTTTAACAACAATGTACAAATTACTAACGAGCGTATTAGCCAATATACTATATGATCACTGTCACGAGAATAACATAATGGCGTTAGAGCAACGGGGGTGTCGCAGGTATGCCAGGGGCTGTAAAGACCACCTCATGGTCAATAAAGCAATATTAGAGGATGCACACCAATCTCAAAAGAACTTGAGCATGGCATGGATAGATTATCAAAAAGCCTTTGATAGTGTATCACATGAATGGCTTCTCAAAGTACTAGATATTTATAAATGCCCGCCTATCATCAAAAGATTCCTTCAGTTGACTATGCCTTCTTGGAGAGTGATCATGACAGCTCGTGGCTCCCAAAACTCAATAACAACCGAACCGATCTATGTAAGACGCGGAATATTTCAGGGTGACTCTCTCTCACCACTTCTGTTTTGTCTAGCAATAAATCCCCTCTCATTCGTACTAAACAAATATAAAATTAAAGGATATAAACTTAAAGACAGTTATTGGATCAATCATTTGATATATATGGATGACCTTAAAGTTTATGCAAACAATAGGACTAATTTAAAGGTGTTATTAGATAGCGTAGAAATATTTACAAGTGACATAGGAATGAGATTTGGTTTAGATAAATGCAATGTAATACATATTAGTTCAGGATATAGAAGCAACGCTATGGGAGAAGGTCATATACTATTAAGCGGAGAAATGTTTAAGCACCTAGCCATAGGAGATAGGTACAAATATTTGGGAGTGCATGAGTCAGGAAAAATTGAACATAGTATAATTAGAGATCAAATAACTAAAGAGTATTTTAAAAGAATAAAAAAACTACTGAATACAAGTCTCAACTCGCGTAATCTAATTAAGGGAATAAATACACATGCTTTACCGGTTTTACTCTACTCATTTGGTGTAATAAACTACAAAAATAATGATTTAAAGAAAATAGATGTTAAAACAAGAAAACTGTTAGCTATAAAAAAAGCACATCAACAGAAAGCAGCAACAGAACGATTATACTTACCAGTGACAAAGGGGGGTAGAGGTATGTTAAATGTAGAATATGTATACAAAACCCAAATAGTCAAATATAAACAGTATCTAAAAACAGAAAGTGATTATTTAATCAAAACAATAGTTCAACACGACATATGCAAGGACAAGTATTCAATAATAAAGGAAGCACAAGAGATAGAACTAGAACTGCATTTACTACAAGGAAACACACATACTGATAAAGAGATAAAAGAAGCAATAGTAAAAAAATATAATAAAACATGGAGACATAAACAACTACATGGTCAGTTCCCTAAAGACGTACTAGATAGGGCCAACGTAGACGGTGAACTTTCATTTAACTGGATTAAAAAACAGCAAATATGCCCAAGTATAGAGTCGTCAATATTTGCCATACAAGACCAAGTCGTAATGACACGACAACATCAACGTGACATACTAAAACAACCAGTAGACGGAAAGTGTCGCTTATGTGTTCATAAAGATGAAACAACACAACACATCATATCGGGGTGCGAGAAATTGGCGGGGACCTATTATGTCAAAAGACACAATAACCTTGTTCAGTATATCTACTGGTGTCTGGCAAAAAAACACAATATACAGGTCTCTGATCTCTGGTGGAAAGAAACTCTCACCCAACCCCATGTTAAAGAAAACGAATCTGTTAAGATCCTGTGGGAAATGCCCGTTCAAACTGATGTCACCGTTACACACAATAGACCAGATTTAATATATATAGATAAAAATAATAATAAAACATACTTAATAGATATAACTGTACCATCTGATTACAATATAGGAGCTAAGGAAATTGAAAAGCTAAGTAAATACCACCTTCTCAAAACTGAAGTCAGTCGTTTGTGGAACACACAAACGATTATCATCCCGATAGTAATAGGCGCAACAGGAATAGTAGCTAAAAATATTATAAACTACATAAATAAGCTAAATGCCAAAATTGACATCACAATCTTACAAAAACAAGCAGCCATTCACACATCAAGCATACTCAGCAAAGTATTGGGAGATACCGTATTTGTACAAAACACACAAAATCATCACACTCAAGACACACACCGGTCACCAACCATCCAACAGGCAACTAACACACAACACTCAACAAACACACCAGATTCATACAACACAATTCATACACCAAACACACAATCACTCACAAATTCAGTATACACTCTAAAGAGAAGGCGAGGTAGAAGACGGACATAAAAAAATAAAACTGGGGCATACGTACCTTTTTTCCTGTGGGTTACAGGACGGGGTATGTTTTTAAGCCGACATAAGTTGAGAAGGTGAAAACCAATTATACTATAATATAATACTTGTAAATGTTCATGACCTTAGGCACTGTTTGTGTTCCGAACCAAGATTACACTAGGAACTTAAAGTTTAGTCTGTTATAGCACTATATTTCATATATGTTTACAAAAGTTATCGAGCTGAATCGATTTAGAAAACTTCATTATTTTTAGTCCAAATATTAAAATTTTCAGTATTTGTTAAGTAGCAGAAATTAATACATCAGTGCAATTACCTAGTTCATTCATTATCAATTGATTGTTACATGAAACGGCTACAATTTTCGACAATTACGGAAATTGCGTTTTTTACTTCATTTCGGTAATTGTATTGTGTGCAATATTGTACCTACTATATATTTAAGTATTTATTATTATTGTTTTCTCTTGATAAATTTGTTCTTGATATGACTGACATTAATAGAGCTATTTAAAACGCATCTTTTATATCCAATTGTTTAATTCATTACGCCTTCAATTATTCAGGCGAATATATACTTATTTTTGTAAATAATATGTACATATTGTTGGTAGTAAATCGCCATACTAATAACAATAATAATTTTATATTAGGAATATATACTACGTATTATACCTATGTATGTATATAAGTGTTAAAACATTAATTCGATTTAGTTTTTATGATACTATAATTGTTTGAATAAATAAATAAATCTTTTGCTCACAGTATAAGTCCATCAGAATATTTTTGACGTATTTTCAGAGTAGATGTCTCTATAAATAAGCATGATAACTCAAGCAAGAAATCTCGAACCTCCGACGGACCCTTGTAAAATTATTCAAATCTTGTAGTCAGTAAAATATCTTCTCAAATTTTAGAGACAGCTGGCCATTAATTTTTGGTGAGTTTTCCTTATTCATATTGAAGAATTTGTTGAAACGCATCGAAGCGTGATTTTGATATACGTTTAATTTTTAGGTGTCATAAATACATTTTTCAAAATTGAAAATATCAGTTGGGTTTTTAGATTATGTAAATTATAGTAGGTATTTGTTATTTTTCTGTACTTAAAGTTATAAAGAGGAAATATTTAATTGTATAAATAGTTTGCGTAATATAGGCTATATACTATTTTTAAAAATTTTATCTATCCATACGAAGCCGGGCCGGATCGCTAGTATTCTGTAAGTTCCTATTATTTATAAATAAGTGATAATTATTTTGTTCTTAGTTAAACGTAAGCGTAACGTAACGTAAATATATATTTAGGCTGTATTACTGTATGTGTGATATTCTTAGAATCTTTGGTGATATTATAACATAATTTAGATACTGTGTACTATCTACATATGTTTATATCCGAGCTAATCTATCTTACCTATCCATAGTAGGTATATATAATTTTCGCAATAATTTAAATACATAACATAGGTTTCTATTGAAGTTTCTATTTAATAAAGAGGAAATTTAATTAAAAAAACCGAAGCTAACACAAAATGGCCGTCTGTCGTCAGTTGTAATTGTGTAGGTAACTGGGTGATTACTTTTTTGTTCGTACCGGGTTATAAATCCAATCTAGAACTTTTATCTTGATAGCGAAGGCTGAATAAATGAACCCTTAGTATTTGAGTTGAGATTCAGTATTTAATTCGTAAGTTTGACGATTAAAAACATTTAATGAAGCGACGTGTAATAAGAAATATAATGTAAAAATATACAGACATTATTTCTCAACAAATAGTTAAATAAATAATACACTGAAAATATTTTTTATTTATTGTTTTTTTTTTTTTTTTTTTTTTTTTTATAAAAATGCTAACCATCGTTTAAAGACACGAACAGCACTATGAACGCATTAAAATACATTGTGATAGTCATAATATCCCACAAGTGCCGACTTTGACGACCACGATGTTGTATCTTAAAAAAAATGTGAAATTTTACTGCCATAATTCGCTTTTCAAACAGCAAAACGGCCACATCTGCTTAGTAAAATAATACAGAGTTACGAGTGGAAAAGAGGGGCTCATAGACTATAGACAATTTTTCTACAGTCTTCTTCTGGTCGAACTTTGCCTAAATTATCCATTAATGTTCTTTATGCATGCTGATTGCAAATTTCTTTGTTGCAGTTGTTACTCTATTCCACCGAACAACATGTCTGGTGGGTCGCATGTCTCTCGAGCGACATTTGGCGGGGCGGAGTCCGAAATATCTGGCGGTAGTGCCCCCCCACTGCCTAGTCCTGCTTCGGCCGGGGCTGCGCTAGTGTCTCCTGAGACATTAAGCCGACACAGTAGTCCCCCACCGCTGCCGGCCCACCCTTCACACCAACAACCAGCGCCGTCCTGTTCTTCGCACAGGGTCCATATGGAGTCTCCATTGAGGTTATTATTTAACTTACAATAAACTTCTGTATAGTTGTATATTTTATAGTACTTAATTTTTATGCTTTCGTTTACACCAAGCGAAATGGGTATTATTTGCGTTACGAAAAAATAAAATTATATTCTATATTACTTAAGGAGGGTACAAATTTTATCCATAGACAACTACAATACATATTTATTATTATGTATTTTTATAAAATTATTAGTATATTTGGATGTTCCGAAATATCTAACTGATCTATGTGAAGTCGGAGCGCGTTGCTGGTAATAGCAGTAGGTATATATATATATATATATATATATATATATATATATACTCGTATACACATAAGATAAATCTGATAAAAGGTAAAAAAAATTTGGTAATCTTGTAAATCTGTGGAAGATATTGAATATACATAATTGCGGTCTCTTTATAATTTTATTGTAATACCTATGAAAAAAAATGTAAACATCAAATACGAGTGTACAAGTATTCACGAAAAGTATAATATATGAGAACATACAAGTATACATAAAAAAATTAAAGGACGACATTATTTTACAAGGAGCGTAATATGAATAAATTGAAATCATGCGTGAGCACTGAAGCTCTCAGATCTGATAGACAATGTTATTATGTTACGTGTTTATACATATTTATGAAACATGAATACTTGCCTTTATTTCATGCAAAATAACATTTTATAATTAAGTAAATATAAAATAAACTATCTGTGCCTGCAAGTTAACTTGCGTGAACATTATTTATTGATTGAGATTTTGTTTAAAAAAAAAAGTATCGACTTTAGTTGTACATTTTGATAAATATTTTGATTTAAAAAGTAAACTACTGAACCGATTTCGATAACATTTCTATGGAACCAATCTGAAAATACATTTTATTTAATAAACAAAATCTAATTCGATTTATAAATGACAGTTAAATTACAACTTTTTTTTTTATTAATAAATGAAATAAGTATTTTGACGTAGGTATAACAACTTTTTGGTGACGATAATAAAATTTATAGTTTTAACGGTAACTGTAAAACAATTACATTTTCTACTCAACAGGTTATCGAGTCCACCATCACTGTCCTTGGGAGGTTCTCTCTCCCTTCAGCCAGTGTTGTATGGTCCAGCAGGCGGAGGAACTGTTCACGCACCACTACCACCAGCTCGGCGGGCGTCCCGGCCCTCAGCTTCTATACAGCCCATGCATGTTATAAGCGCGTAAGTGTCATTACAATATTTTTTTCTATCGCTTTATTTCTTGTAAAAGTTTGTATGACATAATTTATTTTATTTACCTATTTCTATTTTATTGTGTATTTTTAGTATAATATTAAAAGAAAAGCTAAAGTAACTGATGATATCAATACAGGATAAAATTAAAATCATTGGTAACTTTTAACAAAAGTATTCTACCAGTGACTATATTTTTTTTTAAAAGTCGAGAAATAGCCAAAAGAAAATGACTCGCATACTAACACGACATGACAATTTTTTTTTTATTTTTTATTTTTTTTTATACAACTTAAAATGGCAAGCATGCTGACGGTCTACCTGATGGAAAGTGGTAACCGTCGCCTATAAACATGAGCAGTACCATGGACATAACAGAGTATACTGTTTAGCCCATGATACCCCCATGCGTTGCCATTCCTGAGGACTCAGGTGTTATTCCTCTGTACACAGTAATTTCACGCCATATCCCACCCTTCAAACCGAAACACAGCCATGCAAACACAACTGCTTCACGGTTGAAACACGAATGGGACAGAGTTGGGTACCTCTGTCCCATTCGTGTGGCAATCGACTTTTGTACAAAGTCTCCCTCTGGTGAACTGTCAAGTTAGTATGAGAAATCATAATTTATTGTTGCTTTATGACCCTTTAAAAAATATAATTTTTATATTCAATGGCACAAAACACTACGCTAAAAGTATGTCCATAAATCCAATTTCAGCTAATACTTATTAAGTGGGGGGAAAGGGATTGTCAGTAATAGAGACTAAGAATCCCATTGCTAGCAATATACCCAACCAGGTCAACCTCTTCGCGGTTCCACCTGGAAACTATCATGGTTAATTCCTGGTGAATTCATCATGATGGGCTAACTGGCCTGTTTTCATTCTCATCGATCACCCTTCACTGGTGTTCCGCCAGCGTATCCCGTTAGCGCAGGCGGGGCTAGCATTCCATTTTCACCCATCAAAAAAAAAACTTATTAAGTATCTATGTACATACTTATAATGATATTATATTAAATAGTAGATACCGTGCAGTTTATTGATCTATAAAATAGAGTAGGACCATTTGGTGTAGATTCTATATTTATTCTATATAAAGTTACATATGGTTGGCTGCAGTTATAAATCGCAAATGAAATGGGAACCCGAATAAAAAATACACTCGAGCCAATCATTGGTTAGATGGTAAAATTGCTTGAGTGAAAAATGTAACCGCTCTGAGCACGACTGCGTAATAAATTACAAGAATACGTAAAAGCTCCCATAGCTGAGTGTTTTACAGTCTCCCCTCTTTGGAAGATAAGTGCAGAGAAAATTCTGGTAATGAGATCATCGAGGTGGCAATCTTTCCCTATCACGTGTATGTATGTTCAAAGAGTTTAAATAATCCATTTGAGTATATTAAAAAAGGTATTTCCGGTAAAATAGGATATCGAATAATATATTTTGGTATACGACAACGAATTATTACTACTAGCAATCTATTCTTATATTCAGCAATTTATATTTTAATTGAACGAGTTATTAGAAAGCTGGTAATAAGTAAATAAGCAATACAGGTGTCTATAGGCTACCATTATATTTTATAATAATACTGGCCATATGCTTGTTTGTTAATTTTTTAGTATAAAAAAATATGTCCTCACTACGACGAATCCTTGTTCTTATCTGAATGCAGATTTTTAGTTTATCTTTTGTCATCTATACCCACATATTTACGCGCCAAAACGAATTTTTTTACCTACTAAGAGATAAAAAAAGATTCGATTCCAAATGTGAATTCTTTCATTTAAAAAAATTACGCGTATATTGTTGTTAATTAAGCCCGCGTCACTTTGAACAAAAAACCATTTGCATGAAACCTATGCACCCAGTTTATTGGATTTGAAAACTGTAGATTATAACGTTGATAGATATTTTGTAATATGTATTGATATTGATATTTTGTTAAGTTATAAATAGTCATAATACTATGAGTATTCATATATTTTATAGTGTTTTAGTATTTTAGATGATTGCATATATTCATTTTCTAATTTCGTCAATATCCTTAATGGTAATGCCGACTTTTAAATAATGTATTATATGATTGTCAATTGTTCTGAAACAATTTGTTTAGTATTAAAGTTGAGATTAAATAAAAAAATATTTATTGCAAATATCGAAAAATATTTAAAGTGATACAAGAAATAATACGTTAAAGTACGATAATGGTATATCAGAAAATTTATCCCAGTAATATTATGAAAGTTTGTAAAGATTCTAGCTTTACATCTAGTAGGTACACTTTATGTATTGATTCACGTAAGCAATGTTGCGGGGAACAGCTTGTAATATATAAAAAATATCACTTGGATTTTAAACAGACATAGATATTATAATAACATAAAATAAAATAATAATATAAAATAATAAACAAATAAATGACGATTAAGAATGCGCGCCTGTACCGAAAATTACATTTTCTCTACCTAACTGTGCACTCTAAATAAAAGGTTTTCTACAGCGATATAATAGTTTTTAGTGCTGTGTAACTAATAAGAGTATCCATATAGTTCACCTAGAAGAACACTTTCCTAGTTAGAGGTTTAATTGTCAGCCAGAATTGTTGCTATGTTCATGCATAGTCTCAATTTCTTAAAAGCTTATTCTTATTTTTTGAAATAATAATTGTGCTGTGTTTCGAAATAAACATATATATTGTTTATGTAGGAAACAAGTATGCTGAGTAGGATCTAAATGTTGCATTTACATATTACATGGAAATTATAATCTAAGCCTAAAAAGTAAAAAAAAAAAGAAGTTTGTGTTTAAATGTTCATCTAATGTTAGGGTCATACTTTATTTTAGGTAAGTATAAATGGGCGAGGGATAGGCAACAGTGCCCTTCTTAAAACATCTCTAAAGCCTGATTGCGGTTGCCAATTCGCCTGTCGAGCGTGACAACCACTGGCAAAACCCCCCAAGAGGGAGGTCTATATACAAAAAATATTCCAATTCGTTCACCTATTTAAGCGTGATTTAATAAGAAACAACAAAACATACAAACTTTCACATTTCTAATATTTGCTAAGATATTTTTATATATAAACCATTATATATATACACCATATTTACATTAAGTATTTTAAATAATATCACATATACAAATTGATACAATTACATTAAGAAGTCACAACACAAATAGTTCCATAAAATACAAATAATTGGAAAGTAAATAATATCTAATTGAGCAGAGACGACACCGGCGTCGACATAAATAAAATCAGTAGATGAGAAAATAGGATCCCTCCATTTGTAAATGTAGCCTTCCAAGAGGACTTGATTTTATTGCGATAATTGCATTTGTCCCTCAATAACTCATTGTTACTAGAAATGTACAAGTACCACCGTCGCCAGAGAATCAATATTGTCTAGTTTCATTTCATGTTACAGTGGCGTTGGTGTATGTACTTAAAGAAATTTATTTTTTTAAAAATATAAAGTTTAAAGTATAATTTTCACATTTATTTTAGGTATGTGTTAATAATAATTTATCGGACTTTAGTAATTGGTTTATTAATAGATAATATTTGCTATTAAGCTACGAGTTACCGTTAGAGATAAGTTGTTGAATAAATAAATAAGACGAAATATTATAAATGTGAATATTTGTAAAGATGTTTGAATTTTCGTTACGTTTTTCCGTATCGAGTTGTAACGATGATTGATTATATATTTTTATTCGAATCTGTTGCTTCTATCAAAACACGCGAGCATCGAATATTTTTCTTAATTATTTATAAGTTTAGTATAAAAACCTTCGTTATATACAATGTTTTAACTTTCCGAACTCTGCAGTAGATTTAAAAGAAATAATGACGATTTAAAAGTGCTCGTAAATAAGTTTGTTTGAATAAAGATGATTTGATTGCAAATGCCCAAACGAAGTGCACACGAATAGAGGCTTTTTATCGCGTAGAAAAGTATTACAGTTTATAATATTTAAATCACAAAATGCATCAACAATGTCGCATTATATTTACTTAATACACGGACCATAAGTTACTAAACTTGTGACGTTCTGGAGCGGAGTTCCCCAGTGAATCAGTGCAGCTTTCAAAGACAATGGATGTTAAGACGCCTTACCCCTAAGTTTCAACCGCAAGCCATCAGAGGGCGTGGGTGGTGAAGTTTGATAATTATGGTCCCTGTTTTGACTTTTAGCAAACAAGTTAGCTGAAATCACAGAACTTATCCTTGGATGTGGTTGGGCCTAATGTGTTATTCATAATTATTGTAATGTTTGATTAGAAATCTAATTGTACGTACAAGTACGAAAGTTTTTCATTTTTACTCTTAAGTGGTAGATACAGCCTCAACAGTATATTCTTTACACATACTCGTATTTACAATTATATATAAAACTAGCTGACTCGGCAAACGTTGTTTTACCATATATGTTATTTTGAGAATTATACATGAAAATTTATCGTAAAAGCGTGAAAATTTTAATTTGTATGTATTTTTCAATGCTAAATCTCAATAAAATAAAAATGAAAAAAACGTCAAAAAAATAAAAAAAAAAATTGTGGAGGGTCACCCTTATCATTGAGGGGTATGAAAAATAGATGTTGGCCGATTCTCAGACCTACCCAATATGCATACAAAATTTCATAAAAATCGGTAAAGCCGTTTCGAAGGAGTTTGGTAACAAACACTGTGACACGAGAATTTTATATATAAGATTTATAATGGTTAGTATCTCTTCATTTATAAAATTAGTTGAAGCACAATTATAGTTACTGTAATTATTCATTAAATCTAATCTGATATTTAGTTTTATGTGATAAATATGACAAACTGGCTGAAACTTTAAAACCGATTTTTTTTTTTAATTTTATTTAATTATTAATTGTGCGCTGGTAAATGAGAAGGACAGCAGTAAATAAATATAATGCGAGATTTGCCAGTTTTATTAGTGTTATATGTATATGTGTT